CCTTTCCAGTCAGGCAGAGGCGTCCTTGGCAGAGCAGCACTCGCCCCTCACTTTTTGGCAGGCATCGTACAGCTTGCCGAGGAAGGCGTCGGGGACGCTGGTGTGCCTCCGCGCCAGCTCAAACAGGTACCTGGAGTGGGGAAAATGAGACGTCGTTGGTTTTTTTGTTACCGGTGCTGCTCAGCGTGGGATGGGGGCTGCTTTTCACATCTTCCTGCAGCCCCTGGGGGCAATACCCCTGAGGGAAGAGAGGATTCTCCCCCAGATATCCTAATAATAATCAAACCATATAATGAAGACAAGGGCAGAAGGAAGGGTCAGCAACCCAGCCGCTGCAGGCACTGCTCACCTCTTGGCGTGGCGAGCCCCTTCCTCGCTGCACAGCTGCTTGTTCGTCGGCTTCTGCGCCTCTGGCAGTTTGGGGGCAGGCACCGGTGGCAAGGCCGAGATGCAGAAATAGTTTTGCATGAGGTTTTTCCCCTTGCAGCAGTCAGCAAACCTTTCATCCCGGGCTGACAGTGTGCCACAGGCTTTGGCCGTGTGCTCTGAGAGCTGCAAAGAGGGGAGCAGAGGGCGTGTGGTGCTCGGTGTTCTGCTGGAACTGGTGAGGCTGCGGACACCCTCACCAAGATGGGGTTCACTCCCTAAGCCCCTGCTGTGACTCAGGAGGTGGTTTTGGGGTGGGCTTCTGGCTCCCCTACCTCCTTCTGCATGCAGTCCTCGGCCACTGAGTCGCAGCACTGCGAAAACATCTCGGCAGCATCTTCTGCCAGGGGGAAAAGGTCCTCGAAGGAAGCACTGGGTATCTTCTGAGCGAGCGAGGTGAGGTAGCTGGGCAGGCACAGGGCGTACGAGGGGGTCAGGGAGCTCATCTCCCCTTCCCCCATTAACAGCTCCAAGCAGGGGTTTTGCTGCATAGAGGTGCAGGAGAGCGATGGTGGGGAGACACAAGATTCGCTCTGCACCTCCACTACACACAGAGCGTTTCCAAGGGATGCTACAGCGCGTTTGTTTTTACATCTTAATTAAAATTTGTGTTTGTGAATACTGCCCGCAAACAGGATCCACGGCTTGAAAGAGGAATGTGCTCCCAACCTGACCCATGTTCAAGGAGAGAAAATGTCATTTTCCCCTTTTACCTGAAGGTAACTTTTTCCTTCCCATATGCTGTGAAACGGGAGCAAGCACGGTTTGACATCAGGGTGAGGAGGGAGAGAGATTTCCTTTCCAGTTTCTGCCACAAAAAGAAGATCGAGGTGTCCTCTGAGGGGAATGCAAGCGTTTCCCAGCCACCTCTCCTCAGGGCACCGGCATGGTGCTCACTCAGTGGTCTGAAGGGCCTCACCTCCTTCAGGAAGCAGGCGGTGGGCGTGGGGGAGATGCAGCAGGTGGAGACCATGGAGAGGAAGGTCCTGGTGGAGCCCAGGAGCACTGGGAGGGGCGCCTGGCTGTAGCTGCTGGCGTAGTCATGCAGGAACCTGTGGCAGAGGTGGGCTGAGGAGAGCCGGCAGCCGGGATCAGGTGCTCGGGTGCAGGAGATGTGGGATTTTGGGGGCATTAGGGCTGCCTGGGGGTGGGAGCCCTCTCCAGGTACCAACCCGTGCAGCTGGCTTATGGCACCAAGCCTTCGAGCGGGCTGGTGGCCCCTCTCCAGCCACTCTCACTGGCCATGGCACCCCTCATGTCTTTGGTAAAATCCTGTTCCTGGGATTTTCACCCCAACCTTTTACTCTGAGGCATCGGTAGACCCATGGCCACCAGGAGCCGCAGCAATGATGGCAGAGGGGCGAGACTGGGAGGGGTTTGCTTGGTGGGTGGCTGGGCATCAACCGGTGTCAGCACGCATCTGGGCTCAGCCTGGCATTATTGGCGAGACCGAGTGCTATCCCCAGCCCAGCTTACCTGTCTGCAAAGTCCTTGGGGTCCTTCTTGAAGGCCTGGCAGAGCTCTTCGTTGGAGGGCTGGAGGTAGCGGGGCAGCTGCTGGGGTGGGTGCCGCAGGGCAGCCAGGCACAGCTTCTGCTCCAGCCCCTCCTGGGCGCAGCAGCCAGCCGCGTCGGGGTGGTCTGGGAAGGGCGAGCCCTTCTTGCAGGATTTGGCTGACAGAGCTGAGGACTGTGGGAGGAAGAGAAGGTTACATGCCGGTGGCCATCCCACCCAGTCCCTCCGCTGCCAGTTTTGGGATCCATCACCCGGTCTCAGCCAGCCTCACCCCGGCATCGTAGCAGGAGGGGTCGGCACCTTCGACACAGCAGGTTTCAGCCAAGGAGACGATTTCATGGACAAGGTGGCTGATCTCCTCGAAAGTGGCATTGGAGAATTTCCTGCTGTTGGCGATTATGTTTCTGGGAGCAGGGAGCAAGGAAAGCATGAGCTGGTGGCACGTTTCTCTCTCTTAAAAAACAAATCACATTGCAGCATCATTTCACCAGAAGAGGGTTTAACACTATCAGTTGGAGAGAAGCAGCTGCGGCGCCGCAAGAAATAGTAGCATATTCCTTGGAAAAAACAGCCCTGTTAGAATTCCCAATTATTTAGGCACCTAACTGGTTTTGAGGAGTTCAACAATGATGCAATTTTTTCTCCTGTTAAGAGCAATCAGAGTCCTCATTTGCAGGGAGTGAATAAATCTTCCCCTTTCCGAGATTATTTTTATTTATTTTTTTTGGTCTTGGTTTAGGTGCTGAGTGTCCTGAGAGGGCAAATATGGCAGGGGGGACCCACAGGGTTCGGAAGTTCTCTTTCCCCAGCGTCTTGAACTCCTGGCAGACTTTGTCCCGGACATAAGCTTTACCTGTAAGCACAGAAAAAGGAGGATTTCTGAGCAGGATTTTTGCCTTGGCTCACTTGAGTGCGGCCTGGGTGGTGGCCGGGGAGCTGGGACTGGTGGGGCTGGGGTTTGGGAAAACGCAGGCTTTGCTTTTCCCTGCAGTACTGCCTCCTGCGCCCTGCTCTCTGGGTGGCAACAGAGCTCACTTCCAGCAATCTTTCTGCTTGAAGAAAAATAAATAAAACCCAGAGGAGCGTGGCTCTACTTAATTGAGTCTCCTGTGGAAAATAGCTCAGGTCTTTTGCTTTTTGCCAGTGAAAATGAGCATTTTGGGCAACAGCCTGTTCCCACTTCAGTCCCTATCCTGTTCTGGCTTTCTGCTTCCCTCCCCTGCAGCAGTGGTGGTGTGGGAATGAAGGATGCTACACCATCACAAAATACACTCTGAAGGCTGCGGGACTCCTGTTTTGTTCACTTAAGGATTGTTATTATTCTACAAGGTTTCTTCTTTTCCCAAGTCAGAGTTGGTGGTAGTCCCTGGGGAGCTGCTGGCATGGTGCTGCAGACCAGCAAATGCTGCTGCTGTGCTGCTGGTCTCAGAGAAGCACCTCGGGTACCCAGGCTGCTGCTCCAGCTCTGCTGTCAAAGCAAGGGGCAGGGGGGAAACCTGGGACACCTATAGGTAAAACATTACTTGTGTCTGCCCCTTCTCCAAACAGACATTTCTGTGTGTTTGAAATGCATGGTGTTGCTTTTTCTGGCAGGGTTTGGAGCTCTGGAGACAGAACCATGGAGGTCAGGAGCACCCAGCAGTGAAGACACCCCTGCTGACTCTCAGCCCTGGAAAAACGCTATCGATTTTTGCTGCAAACCACTCTGGTTAGACTTTGGTACCGGCAGGGTAAATACTGATACCGGTATTTACTGGTATTACAGCGTGGAGCAGGGTCATTTCCCCAAAACCGAGGGGTTATGTACAGTTACGCCGAAGGTCACATTGCTTTGATGGGAAAGAGAGGGTGAGGGGGCTTTTGCAAGGTTGGTAGCACTGGGAAAAAAAGGGGAAGCCATGGTAAAAGGCAGTTCTCTGCTCTCGTGGGAAAAGCAACTGTCAGTCCTGCTGTAAGTGCCCACTTGTTGTATTTCTTTTCATTTTCATAAAGCCATATGGGAGAAGTAACTTTTGAGGGTTTTTTTGGCAGCTGGATGATTCCCTGCAGAGCTGAAAAGGCAGCAAGGGGTGGCACAGAGCATCGTTTCCATCCGAGGGGTGGGTTTTGCAGTGAAATGGTGCTTGTGAAGGGGTTCAGAAAAATCTAATTTTCCCTCGCAAAGGGAAGAAGCCAGGCCCTGTGACACTGTTCTCTCCTCCTCCCTCTGACCCCAGCCCAGCTCCCTTCCCTCCCAGCTCCTCCAGCATCACCTCAAAGAGGAGTCTCGGGTACCAAAGCGTCATCCCACGCCTACCCTTTCCTCTTTCTGATTCCTGCCCAGCAATTTGGCAGTGGGCTGGGGAGAGGGGAGGCCACTGAAAACCAGTGGAGTTAACAGACCCCAGCCTCGTCCCCCTCGTCCCTGGGGGAGAGCAAAGCCCCCGACACGTGATAAATGCCCTTACCTCGGTGCTCGGCATACGCAGCGGCTAAAAGCAGCAGCAGGGCGAGAGCTGCCCTCATGTTGGGGCTGGTTTCCCTCCTCCTGCTGAGAAGCGGCGCTGGGAGACCCATCCCAGCATTTATATGAAGGTAATGGAAATTGCCAGGTGAATGATTAATCCCGGTGGTGGGGCAGAGGGTGAGCATCCTTGGCCTGCCTGCCATAGCCTGGGTGCCAGCACCCCCAAAATCAGACTGATTTTAATGATTAACCTGTCAAAACAGGGATGTGTTGCTGTGGGACCTCAGGCAGGATCCTCCTGCTCATGTTGGATGATGGGCACAACATGAGCGACAAGAAGAGATGTGCCGGGGAAGGCGTCCCGTGGATCTCGCGAGTGCAAAGCCGTGTCCAGTAAGGCCAATAAATGGTCCTCCCAGCCCCACGCAAGGAAGGAGCCCGCACTTGTGGGTTGCAAGCACACCAGGCTCTCCCTGGGGCGGTGATTCAGTGGGGACAACTGCTCCGTGAGACGACGGTGGCCCGATGCAGTGTCCTGCTCTGCCGTGACCACGGTGCACTGGCACTGGGTCAGGGTGACTCCCATCCGAAAGGCCCGATGGCGGGGTGTCGCGCACGCGTGTGCCAAAGGTTTGCTGCTTTCTGAGAGCACGCATTGCTTTTTAGCCTCCTTGGGCTCACAGCCAAGCCCCGGAGCCCCCCAGGATCTGCAGCAGAGGGGATGGCAGGTGCTGTTCACAGCACCGGCAAGGCGCTGGGTTTGGGATTGGGGAAAGAGGGACCGTGAAGCCACCGAGGCTTGGAGTAACTTTTTTATTCAGGCTTAGGAAGCCAAACAGCGGGCATTGTGGCCCGAGGCTGCTGCAAAACTAGTATCTAGCAAATACCGCCCTGGGTTAGCAGTGTTTGCTGAAGTGTTTGGTTCCTCCTGGGTGGCTTCCCACAGGACGACAGGTTGGTGCCACCCTGGGGCTTTTTAAAAGCTCATTTGCGACTACAGCAACAAAAACTTACATATCACTTTTTCCAGGCAAGCATACAGAGAGTTTGCAGCTGTTTGGGGCAACTGATATTTGAGCTGGTTGTTGCTAGTCTTGGGCCACCCTCCAAATCCTGCACCGGTGGACTTGTTCCTTGGGAGAGTCCTGCAACAGTGTGGTCTAGAGGTGGCTCTGGGTTAAAACAGAGGTGGCTGGGACTCTGTACACACCCAGATGTATGGGGAAGTGGTTTTCTTGCTTTTACTGGGACTAAAGGTGCTTTTCCCCTGCAAGTAGGTGAATGCGCCGGCTGAGACACTGTTCAGTACAGGGAAAATGTTTTTACATCTGAGGAGTAAGAAAACCAGGAACAGTGGCATGGTGTGGATGCTGGGAGGATTCAGGGCCATTAGAAGTCAGAGGAGGCTTTGATTACACTGTGCTTGCAGAAGAAACCGGTGTAATGGGCTATTTGGGCATAAACACAGATATTTGGTCTCTTTTGTGACTACCTTGTATGAGTCAAGCTGTAATTTCCCAGCAGCTTGCTGTTGGATTGCTACCTATTCGGCCTGTTTTGAACAAAACCCCCTGGTTATAGGTTAAAAAAGATGGGAGATAATTGCTTGTAAAGTCACTGCAAACTGGGAGGATGCTTAACGGGTCATCAGCCGGTGGAGTGGGATGCGGAAAATTACGAAAACTGGTGGCGTGCTAGGCTGAAAGCAGGCAGCCCTTCTTCCCCAGGCGCAGCAGTGGCCTCCTGGATGAAGAAAGATGATACGATGCCCAATTACAGGAGATGTGCATCTGTAAGGTATGTATATAAGATGCCCCATACACAAGATTTCCCCTCTCTGCAGTCTCATTTTTTCAGCAGGTGAAGTTAATGAAGAATTCGAGAAGGGGAAATCCAAGCGAGATTGAGAAACACATGAGAAAACACCCAAGCATGGACACAAACACCTGCTCAGTGTACTGAAATGCTGTGTATTTGCCAGGAAGATGGTCCTTCCTCCCATCCCGCAGCTCAGGTCGTGCCCAGCTGCTTGATGAGGGCAGGATTTTGGAGGTAGGTTTGGGCTGCCCTCTGAGCCCCTGGGGCCTTCTCGCCCCCCCAGCCCATCTCCATGGAGAAGTCTTGCCTTGGCTGGTGGGCACCCCAAAGACCCTTACGGCCTGGACAGCCCCCCACACGCTCAGCAACGCTGCAGGAATTGCTATATTTTTGGCAAACACAAAAACTGCCTTTCACCACAGTGTGCCCCAGGTCTGGGGGACGCCGCTGCACCAGGAGGCATCTCTTGAAGAAACCTTTTAAACAAACCCTTAGCCCAGAGGTCAGGAGAGGGAGAGGAGAGACCCCAGCCCCACAGATGTGCTGGTGGTGGCTTGTTCTCCTTCCCCAGGGATAAGCATGGCAAGGGTGCTCAGGGCTTTGCATTTGGCATTGCCACCAGAAAATGGATTTGAGAGGGCTGGCTTGCTGCAGGAAAAGGGATTTTATTTTTTAAATGTCATTTCATTTCATTGTATTTATTTGCACGATCCTGCCTGTTTTCCGTGCTGAGCCCCATGCGCTTCATTCTCTGGGCACGTCTGCCCCTCGCTCCACTACTGGGAAAGCCCAAGAGCTCGTGTGCCTGCTCCTGCGCTGACCTCCCCAGGCGAAGCCTGGCCCAGAGCTGGACCCTGCCAGCAGCAGCCCCAGCCCCACCGAGCACCCACTGCCCCAGATAAACTCCTGGCGCAGGCTGCACCTCACGAGAAGGGGTCTAGAAGCGAAAAGGGGGGGGGAGAAGCCCTTCCTGCCCAGCCATGGGGGGCTCTGCGGGTGAACCCCTGTCCCCAGGGCCAGGCCCTGGAACTGATGTCAAAGGAAAAGGGTTAGAAGTTATTTGAGATTCCAAGGTAAAAAAGCTATAAATGTCTGCCTTGCTGCTGGCTTCGATACGTGTACATGAATTTGGAACAAAGTCAAGACAAGAGTGTATCCTATAGTTACCTTAGGTTAACTATAATACAAAAAAACAGGCGTAGACTTTATGTGTAAGTGTAAGATCATCCTAGTGTAATGAACTGGAACAAAACTGGGACATGTGCAAACAGGTTTTTGTGCAAGTGACCAGTCAACAGCTTTAGTGTAATTTGTTCTTGGTTACTGTTTTGTATAAAAGACCCCACATCTTTCTGAGAGGGGTACTGGCTGGGGTTAAATGCTCGGCACCCTACTCTGCAGACGAGCAATAAAGACAAGTATCTCAACTTGGTGTGTTGACTGGCATTCTGCACACTGGGTGAAGAACTCTGATTTAGGGACAACAGGATGATCTGGCTCCGTTCCTGCACCCTGCATCACCTCATTTGGTTTGTACAAAGCCCTTTGCCTGAAACGGGGTGTGGGGGGGGATGCTTCTGCTTTCCAGAGCCTTTCCAGCAGTCACAAAGCAGCTCAGGGCAGTTCATCCTCCAGCCCCGGCCCTGTTTCCACAGCACAATGCAAACTGAGGGGAGAGCTGCCCCTCCGCAGCTCAGACAAACCCCACAAACAGCGCCGGCATCGCCGAGGCCAAGCTCAGTTTGCAGAGGACCGGTGTGTTTGGACAAGCGCTCGCCCTGCCTTTGGTGCGTGAGTGGAGCTGCCAGGCAGGCTGTCCCAGCGATGCCCCCATCACGGTGATGCTCCCCTGACCTTCGCCCTCTTCTTTACACGTTAAACAAAAACAAATTACGAAGCCCCCCTGACTGAGGCCGCAAGACCCAGCCCGGCTCACGGGCCCTGAAAGCAGCCTGGGGTTTGCCCCGAGTGCCCCCTCCTCCTCTGGGGCGATGCCGGGGGACCCCGACCACAGTGGCCATGCAGCGCATTTTTTTTTTCAGCAGGTCAGTATATTGTTCTGCTGTTTTTATTTGGCGTGGTTTGGGGGTTTTGCTTTGGTGCATGTGTCTTTTTTTTTTTTTTTTTTTTTTCTTTTCCGGGT